GAGATGCAAAATCATGTATGTACAGATGACACAAAGGAGGAAGAAAATTGTCTGGGGGACAAAGGGGACTGACGGGAGGAAGGCGTGTGAACAGGGACAGTGCTCAAGATGCAGTACAGACTGCCAAGGGATGTCCTTATGCAACCCAGCACCATGTGTGGGGAATATGCACCCACGTGAAAACAAAGTAAGTAAATGAGTTAAATTCGTGTGTCTAGACCGGAGGCCTTTTCTGGTGAATTGAACTATTTCTTTTCTTTTTCTTTTGCTTTTTTTTCAAGACAGGGTCTCCCTGTGGCCCCAACTGGCCTGGAACTCACTACGTAGACCAGACTGGCCTTGAACAGAGATCTGCCTGCCTCTGCCTCTGGAGTACTGGGATTAAAGGTGTGCGCCACCACAGACGGCTGAACTCTTAAAAGTGACCTTTTTATTTCTGGAAATGCGTTTTGCCCTCAAGTCTGCTTTCTTAAATACTGAAGTAAACACCCCAGCTTTTGAGCAAGGACATCAGTATATCCATAGATGCTTTATGCTGTCCATTTTAGGAAACAACAAACTCAACTCATATGAAATAAAAGGAGCTAAGAGATACTGGACATAAATGGATGAAATAGGAGAAGAGTATAATGGAGAGACAAACTTAGCCAAAGCCTCTTACCACAGCGGGGCTGGAGAGAGGGCTCAGCAGTCATGAGCACTTCCTGCTCTTCTGGGTTTGGATCCCAGCACCCACATATTGGCTCACAACTGCCTGTAACTCCAGTTCCAGGGAACCTGACACCCTCTTCTGGACTCTGGAGGCGCTACCATGCACGTGGCGTACACACACACACACACACACAATATAAAATAAATAAATAAATATAGTGTTTTTAAAGTACCTGTGGAGAGGCTGGGGAGTGGCTCAGTGGGCACAGTGCTCACACTGCAATCTTGAGTACTTGAGCTTGGATCCCCAACACCTATGTAAAAGCCAGGTGAGGCAACACACATCTGTAACCCCATACCAATGCCCTCTTCTGGCCTCTATGGGCACGGCATACGTGTGGTACATATACATACATGCAGGTAAAACACTCATACACATAAAATAAAAAAATAAACAAATCTAAAAAATAGGGTGGACAGCAATAGGGGAAGACGCATACGGGTGCACATGGGAGTAGACACACAGTACATATGACCACACACGATAGGGGAAGATGCACACAGGCGCACATGGGAGTAGACACATGGTACATATGGCCACGCACACTCCCCCTGACATACCACATACACACACATACTGTACGATTCACAAATTTCAGACACTTATTAAAATGAGGCAGATATTTAAAAATGAGAGATTTTGGGCTGGAGAGATGGCTTAGTAGTTAAGAACACTGGCTGTTCTTGCAGAAGACCCAGGTTCGAATCCCAGCACCCACATGGCAGCTGACATCCATCGGCATTGCACCACATGGGTGCACTTATACACTACATAAAATAAAATAAAATAAAATAAAATAAAAAATAATAAATAAAAACTTTTTTAAAAATGAGAGGTTTTGTAAATTCTGTGCCAATGAATTTGAAAATTTAAGATAAAATGGAAAAAATCCTGGAAACATAACAAAATTAACTTATAAAAAAGATTTTAAAAGATATTGAATCAACGGTTTTAAAAAATCTTTCCCCAAATAAAACTCTAAGCACAGATGGCCTGGTTGGCATCTTCTGCCAACCCGATGTGTGGGGTGAAGCCAAAAATCTGTGTGGGTGTGGTGGTGATGGCTGTTTTCTACTGTTTTGGAGATGAGGTCTTTCTATGTAGCTCAGGCTGACCTCAGTCTCCCAAGTGCTAGACTTCCAGAGATGGCAGATGAAAAGTTTATACAGACCCTTCCAGTCAGCTGGAGAAGGCACGGATCCCCGTTCACTTCCTGGGATAAGGAACCCAGGGGTGTGGAAAGTTAGAGGCCAATCTACTCAACAGAACAGAGTGGGAGAGGGAACTCAGAAAAAGCCAGTAGATAAATCAACATTGAAGCCAGGCATGACGGGGCAGGGAGCTCGGTGTTTTCTTGGAAGAGATAAAATAACCATTCTGAGAAAGACACCATGTAGTAATTTTTTCATCTCTGTGACCAAAATGCCTGACAAAAACAACTTCCGGGAAGAAGCACTGAATTTTGGCTCAGTGCATGGCCCCTTGGGCAGAATGTCATGGTGGCAGAGGAAAGCTGTTCATTGCATAGTAGGCCTGAAAGCAGGGGCAAGATAGCAAGGATCCAGGACCATGATACCCCCAAGAACTTGCCCTGAGAGACCTATTTTCTCTAGCCAGTTCCCTCATGCCAAGGTCTCTCAACCTCCCACAACAGCACCACCAGCTAGGGACAGAGCATTCAGAGCACAAGCCTGCGGGTAACATCTCAGATCCAACCCTAACAGCTGTCAAGTGTACTACTCCATGAGTTTTGCCAGCAGCACCAGCATGTGTAACCCGCACCCCTACCAGCAGGGTACAGAACACGACCACCTTCCCAGACAGTTCCCCAAAGCCCCTGTAGGCAGTCTCCACCCTGTCTCCCTGAGACAACTCTTTGTTCTGATAGATTGGTTTAGCCTGGAACTTCAAGCACCTCTGCCTCTGGGTACTCATAGAAGGTTGGTTCCAGAGCCCCCGGAGGATTTAGAAATCTGTAGCTGCTTGGATATAAAATGTGCAGTGTTTGCACAGAACCCATACATGTTCTTCTGTAGGCTTAAATCAACTCTAGATCACCAGCAATACTCAATCCGGCATAAACGCTCTGTGAAAACGTGTCAGGCTATGGACACGTTTGTTTGTGGAATGACAAGAATGAAGTCTGTATTCAGCATAGATACCATAGATACAACTTTTTGGTTGAGTGGAATGGTTAGTGTTAACTGTCAGCTTGACAGACTCTAGACCCACCTGGGAGAAGGGCCTCTAAACATGTTTGCGGGAGGTTATCTTGACTTCATGACTCCAGGTCAGAAGACACATCCGCTGTGGATGGCATGCCGCCCTGGTCAGGAGATCCTGGACTGTATAAGTGGAGAAAGTGAGCTGAGCACTGAGGAGCATCAGTCATGGATGTGATGTGACCTGCTGCTTCTAGCTCCTCCTACCTTGACTTCCCAGCCGGGATAGATTGTGTCTTGATCTGTGAGCTAAAATAAGCTCTTTCTCTCTTGATTTGCTTTTGTCAGGATATCTTATCACAGCAAGAGGAAAGTAAACTAAGACACTGGAGTTGTCACTCGGTGATAAAGCACTTGCCTAGCAGTATGAGGCCTGGGTTCAATCTTTAACACTGAAAAAAACCCATGATTTGTTTTTAATATTTTCAGACTGCCAGGAGCAGTTCCTCACCTAGAATCCCAGCACTTGAGAGCCTGAGGCAGGAGGATTACCATGAGTTTGAGGCCAGCCTGGGCTACACAGCAAGTACCAGGTCAGCCAGTAATATAGTACGACCCTGTGTGTCAGTTACTTTCCTTGTCGCTTTGACAAAATACCTGAGCAAAGCAGTTTAAGGAAAGAAGGATTTATTTTGGCTCACAGGTCAAAGGGAAGTCCAACGTGGTGGGGAAGGCATGGCGGCAGGGTGATACAGTTGCTGGTCACAGTGCATCCACATTTCTTATCAGTCTAGGACCCCAGTCCATGGAATGATTCTGTCTGCAGTTAGAGTGGGTTTTCTCAACTCAATTAACCTAACCTAGGTAATCCCTCACAAGCATGCCTGCCCAGAGTTTTGTCTCCTAGGCGACTCTACATTAACCATCACAAACAAACTAACAAATCCCCCAAATTTTGAACCTGTGATTGATTCTTTTTCCCACAGTTGGAGACTCAACCCAGGGTATTGCATTTGCTAGGCAAGGGCTCTACCACTGAGCTTAAACTCCCAACCCCCCCAGTCTGTGATTGATTGAATCCATAGATACAGAACCAGCAGATATGGAGGACTGACATGCAATCATGCGCCAGGCTGCTGTGTGAGGTTTCAAACTGCTGCCTGTATCGTGGTTTGCACCTATTCATTGCTGGGCACTGTGGTTTGGTTACAAATTGCCCCCAAAGGCTCACGTGTTGAGCTTGGTCCCCAGCTGGCGGTACTGTTGAGAGGGCAGTAACATCATCAGTGGCATAATCCACTGACAAGTTCACAGCTGGATGGAAGCTGGAGGAAGCAGGTCACTGAGGGCAGGACTCCTTCTTCCCCTCCTCCTCCTCCCCCTCCTCCTTCCTTTCCTCCCTCTCCCTCTTTCTCTTTCTTTCTTCTCCCTGCCCCGCCCCCTGCCCCGAGGTGAGCAGCTTTGCCTCATCCACAAGCTCCTACAACCAGGATGCTGCACCTCTTCTCCTGCAGCAATGGAGCAGGCTGACCCTGAGCCCAGATAGACCCTCCCTCCTCTACATGGTAATCTCAGATATTTTGTCAAAATGATAGAAAACCCTAACACACTAGATATGCCACGTGTGACTTTATCATTGCTTTACTTATTTTCCGTTGGAGAGACACTGAGGCATATTCTACTTTGGGTCTATTTTGAATAAAATGACATAAACATTCTTGCACACAGTGTCCGGTCTTGGGCACTTTCCTGTGTTAGGTTCTGATCTCTGCTTCTTCGACAGCAGAGGGTGTCATTGAGCCTGTGAATACCCAGGGCTCAGACTTTCCCAGGAGGAAATATCTGTGGTCCAGCAATTTATTACCCCTGGCTCAGTATCAAAGCTTAGGAAGAAGTAATTATACCAAGTCTGAAGGAATTTTGACAACTGTGTTCACCTTTTAAAAATAATATTTTTAAGCCGGGCGTGGTGGCACACGCCTTTAGTCCCAGCACTTGGGAGGCAGAGGCAGGTGGATCTCTGAGTTCGAGGCCAGCCTGGTCTACATAGTGAGTTCCAGGCCAGCTGGAGCTACAGGGAGACCCTGTCTCAAAAAGACAAAAAAAGAAAAAAAAATTTTTTTTAGATACTTACCTGGTAAGGGAGACAGCATGATCAGGAACGTGGTTTTCCCAGGGTGAGGCTCATTCATTACACTTGGGATGTGCTGACCCCTGCGATTTCCCTAAATGTGGGAAACCCAACTGCGTAATTAGTGGTGGTCGGGGGACCGCGTTCATGCTCTCCCCTGGCTTGTGCTGGTTTAAAGAATAGAATGTCTTAGTGTCTGCATTTTCATAAATTATTGGTTTATGCTATTTCAGTCTATTCTCTTCTGTAGAAAAGTAAAAAAAGAGCCCATGGGTGTGTATATGAGTCCCGTGAAATACAACACCACTCGTCAATAACAAAGTTTCTTTCACAGGCCTAATTTATAAAAGAACACATGCTGGGTGTGGTGGCACAGGCCTTTAATCCCAACACTCAGGAGGCAGAGGCAGGCAGATCTCTTATGAGTCAAAAAGACCAAAAATAAATAAAATTTTAAAAAAAGATTTAACTGGTCATTCTTCAGATTTGTATTTGCGTTTATTTATTTGTATTTCCTGAATTTATCCCTGTGCTGTTTTTGTTTCTTCAGGGCTTTTTCTTCTGGGTAGCCTCTTCTGGCTTAGAAGCAATGTGTTTCTTTTCAGCAAGGACAGCCTAGCACAGCAGAACACCTGCGTGGGTTCTTTAGGCTGCAAACCTCAGGAGCTTGGCCCAACCGGCTGTGTTCAATGACCAGAGAATCTATGTCTATCTTTTTTTTTTTTTTTTTTTTGTTTTTTTTTGACGGGGGTTTTAAATTTTTTTTTTTTTTTTTTTTTTTTTTTTTTTTTTTTGGTCATTTTGAGACGGAGTTTCCCTGTAGCCCCAGCTGACCTGGAACTCACTATGTAGTCCAGTTTGGCCTTGAACTCATGGAGATCCCCCTGCCTCTGCCTCCTGAGTGCTGGAGAATTTGTGTCTAAACCTGAGATTCGGCACTGCTCTCTGTGTCCTTAAGCATCCACAGCCAAATTGAAGCACTCTTTATCGGGCTACTGGCCTGTATCCAGCTCTAGTGTCTGGCCTGGACACACCTATCCACCCTATCATTCACCTTTGGAATGGCACACAGCCTTCAGTAAAATGGCGTTGTTGTATGTCTACTGAGTTTGCCAACATTCATATCCGTGATGGTCTGGGCAGTTTCACAGGTGCTTTTAAAGTAAAGAAGGGGAGCGAACCTCTTAATTTGCATAATTTTGTGGGGTTTTCGGAGTCCAGAGGGCAGAGAACCATTTTCTTGGGTCACTCAACCCTCTGCTTACAGAAAGAGGAGTTGCCAATGAGTGATTACTATTGATCCCCAAAGGAAACATTTCATCCTCAGCTAGAGAAGCTCCCAGGAAGATGTGAGGAGAAACAGGCGGTGAAGGCCCTCCTGCCTCAGCCTGGCACTGACTGGCAGGGCTGCTCTGTAGCTGGGGCTCCGTGGGCATCTTTCTCAAGGAGGTCACCCATAGTGGTGCCCCTGCAGCTCTCTGTCATGCTCTTTTGGGTCTGCTCAGATTGAGGTCCTGGGAGAGTCACGGTTGAGGCCACCTGCATTTCTCACACCAGATCTTTGGGGCAATGTGTCCCCAGTGTCACTCCTGATGCCAGAGACTGGATGCTGTGAAGACAGCTTCAACTGCCGGGAAGGAGCCTGGGTGGGTTTGACAGCAGGAGTAAAGCACTGCTCCTCGCGGTGTGGCCTCCAGAATCACCAAAACTTGACTGGGGTGACCTGGGAATTCCTCATTTGAACACGTTCACCACGTGGTGGCGCTGTGCAGCCAGGCTTGGAAGCTGCTGCCCTGGGTGTCCTTGTGCTGACAGTGGCCTGGCCTGATGAATCTGTAAGTCTCAGAGTTCAGGTGGATCCCACCCAAGGAGGTCAGGGGAGCCCTAGCTGATATTTTCTGGGGAAGCTATGTCTTATCCCAGAAATGGTCTGAGGGGCTGATGCATGGACAGGGCAGAGGCTAAATGCCAGCGCTAGGAACACAGCTGCCTCTCGTTCTGACACCCCAGGTCGTCTACGTCCCATTGTGTCATGCAGCCGGGAGCAGTAGGGTGATGTCTTCCTTCCATGCTGTCCCCATCCCTGAGCACTGGGCTCTGCCTCGGTGTCTATGTGAGGCATGCTTCGCCTCTGCAGCACCTGCTGCCCTCCCTCCCTAACCCTATGGGAAACACCAGCACAGGCAGCTACTTTCTCCTGTCTGGGAAGATGTGAAATGGGATGGGTTGGGGAGACCATAGTGGTGTTTTGTATGTCCCCATTATGAGCCACAGCCACTGCTGTTAAAATTAGTGTATGCATAACCATCACAGCTAGTCATTGCACTTTTAAGTTTCCTGGCTTGAGACATGAAGAAGTTTGCCCCGTGGAGACGGTAACCGCTGGAGACGGGGCCCAGAAGACCAGCTAAGAAAGGGGGCGGCGCCAAGGAGTCAGGAGACCGAGACATGGCCTGCTGCAGGGTCTGAGAGAGCAGCAGCCAGCGGAGGGGAGGCCTGGCAGGACTCAGGAGGCAGGAGGGCAGAGACTGGGCGCAGTGGAGGGTGGCAGAGCAGGGTAGGTTGGTGGGAGAGCTCAGAGAAGACCCCAGAGAGTATGCCACAAAAGCAGCATGGGCTGTAGACTCTGGGAGCCGATTGTGACTCTAGATTTACAGAGCTTTTGTGTTTTGTTTTTTGTTTATTGAGACAGGGTCTCACTGTGTAGCCATGGCTGGTCTGGAACTTGCTACATAGACCAGGCTGGCCTCCAACTCAGAGGTCTGCCTGCCTTCGCCTCTTGAGTGCTGGGATTAATGGTGTAAGTCACTATGCCCAGTTCAGTTTGCAGATTCCCCAGAAGGGAATCTGTCCCATGTGTTCCTTTGCTAATAAATGCTGTTCAGCTGGAGTTCTATCTGTGCCCTGGTGCTTTCTCCCGATCAACCGGATTCAGCCATTGTCCACTTCATCTATCAGATCAGACATTCACGATCACCCTCCACTACATAGGAAATCTGAGGCCAGCCTGGGATGCAGGAGACCTGCCTCAGAAGAAAATTTAAAAAGCATGTGATTCCTGACCCAGGCATAGTGGCACATGCCTGAAATCCTGGTATTCTGGAAGATGAGGCAGGAGGATTGCAAGTTTGAGGCCAACTTGGGCTATATATTAATTTGCAAACAAACAACAACAAAAACTAGCCAACCAAACAAATATAAAAAGAAATACAGGAATTTGCCCCAAGAAGTTGAGATCAGCTGTAAAGTTCCGGAAAGGAAAATGGAGACACACCCTGGGGGATGAAGACCCTGCCCAGGGCTCAGCGTTCTCACTCTACACCCCACCTGGTAGTGCACGCCTTTAACCCCAGCATTTGGGAGGCAGGTGGGTGGATCTCTGTGAATTGAAGGCCAACCTGGTCTATATAACAGGGGGCTGGGGCTACAGGGAGACCCTGTCTCAAAAAGACAAAAGACCTTTCTTTCAATTTATTACTTTTATTTTATGGGTATGTGTGTATTGCCTGCATGTAGGTAAGTGCACCCCTGTCACACAATGCCCAAGGAGGACAGAAGAGGCTGTCAGATCTCCTGGAACTGGAGTTACAGGCAGTTGTTAGCTGCCATGTGGATGCTAGGATTCGAACCCAGGTCTTCTGCAAGAACATCCAGTGTTCTCAACCGCTGAGCCATCTCTCCAGCCCCGAGACCTTTCTTTCTTAAGATGGTCTCGGGGCTGGTCAGTCCTCCTCAACACTGTCACAGCTGTGGACTTGAGCTGTGAGAGGCAGCAGGACAGATACTCTGTTGGGCACGTTTGTTCTGAGGCACTGTTGGTCCTGGGTCACCTGCCCAGTTACACCAGGCAGAGCCTTCTGCAATCACCTCAGAACAGACCTTATTGCCTCATGTAGCCAAGGACAAATAAACAGCAGCCACCACTTGCTGTACTCCCTGAGGGGTCCTTGGGGACACTGTCCAGCCCTGGCAGGGCTGTGCCTGACTCTCAGAGCCTGAGTACTTCCTGTTTTGAACATTCTCTGGCAAGTATACCCAGGCTCTTATTGTAGAACACCCTCTCCTTCCCTAGGGATCCCGTGTTGCAGCCAACTGGGACGTTGCACAAGCACAAATGTGGGACCTAAAGTGTGTGTGTGTTGTTTACAATTCTGAATATTTCATCACACCAGCTTCTAAAAATAGCCTAGCGTGGTTCAGTCACACTGTGAATTCCTAGAAAAGTGGATGCTTTCCTGGAGGAGGCAGCACAGAGCAGTCAGTACAAGCCGCCTCCCTGTGCTGTGAGCACTGGAGAGCCCAGCCAGAGTGTGAGACTCGCCTGGGGCTCCTCTGTCCTGGTCCTCCCACCACCTACTTCAGAGTGTCGGCCCACTCCTCTGTGACAACAGCCAGTGGTGTGGTATTCATGTCAGTAACACCCACCCACCCTCACAGGTTTAGAGAAATAAATCCAGCCTATACCAGGCTATACACCGCCCCGCCTCCTCCATGCCCTGTGACTGCTCCCAGCTGGGTGAAAATAACAACACTCACTTTTGGCACTTTTACCACTATGTCTTCTTTTCGTTTTTGACTTTCGGTGTGGTAAATATTGCACCCAGGCCAGTGTGACCATCCAGATCCTCAACTTTATTCTGGCTCTGTGCCTAGGAAAACTTCAATGTATCCCAGAAAGAGCTGCTGTGATCATGAGCTCTAATTTTCAGCTTGAGGCCAGGTGTGGTGTCTCATGCCTTTGATCCCAACACTAAGGAGGCAGAGGCAGGCAGATCTCTGTGAATTCAAGGCCAGCCTGGTCTACATAGTGAGTTCTAGGACAGCTGGAGCTACAGGGAAACCCTGACTCAAAAAAGCAAAAGAAAAAAAAAACTGTCAACTTGATCCAACCTAGAATCATCTGGGAAGAGTCTCAATGAAGAATTGTCTAGATTAGGCTGGCCTGTGGACATGTGGGTGGGAGCAGGTCTTGATTGCTAATTGATGTGGGAAGACCCAGCCTAACTGTGGGCAGCACCACTCCCTGGCTGCAGCCTAGAACTCTTTAAGAAAGAGAGCTAAGCACTGAGCTTGCATGCACTGACTGGTTAAGCTGTGACATGCTGCAAACTCCTGTCTAGATGCCCCTGCAGTGCAGCCTAAATTGCTTTTTGTCAGAGT